AGATTGGCTTTATTAAAGTCCCCGAGAATGATTAAAACAGAGTCGATCTGTTTCGACTGATCAGAGTCGAACAGAACACAGACGATCTGAAGCACCATTGCACTCTTCTGCTGGACTTTAGAGAAACGATGCTCATCTTTGTTATCTAGTTATGCAAATGACTTCACAGATTCTCTTACAGATCAAATAAAACAGTATCTTTACTGTATTGATGCAATGCTCTGGACAGTTTTATTGAGAGTAATGCACAATGTGTAATGTGTGTATCTCAGTGAGTGTGTGCTGATGTTTGACTCGGATGCAGTCAGTTCACATGTGAATGAAGAGAGGATTGTGATCTTCTGTTGACTGGAGCAGAGACTCATGGAACTCGTTGAGTTTGTAGCTGCTCAGAGCTGCTGATGTAGAGAGCGCCACCTGCAGGAGGAAACTACAACTACAGCTGCACTCTTTCACAGCCATCTGATCTCATTTCACTCAGAACAACAGGTTCAAATTAGTTTTCTGATGTTCAACAGTTTGTATTAGTAAAGTATTACAAAATGTGAGAGGAAGTGTTTTTCTATCTTCATGTTCACTGTGCTGAAAAGTTTTAGTGTTTTGTAAATGTATGTTTATTTGAACTTTTTTATATAAAGCAGGATTCATCAAATGATCTGTCTCCATTAAATATGATATCAGAATGATCAAGACATTATTAATAAAGATACAAATGTCACAGTAAGGGATTGAACAGAAAGTACAGGACAACATGTATTCTGCATGTTAACATATTATTTTATATAGTATCAGAATATCTGTATAATATTTTAACATGCAGTTCAGAAAAAAACTATGTAGACCGTGAAAGCATGAGATTTTAATTGGAATAAAGTGTGTGTGTGTGTGTGTGTGTGTGTGTGTGTGTCTGTGTGTTTTGTTCTTCAGGTCTGGAGTTAAACTGCAGTTTTGATCAGTCTGATCCCTGTTACACAGCTCTGGGACACAAACTCAATGTGACGATGGTGCTGGACGCTAGTGAATATAACCTGAAGATCATAAAGAGAATAAACAGCACACATGATGGTCCAGTTTGTAGAGTAAAGAATGACAGTATAAAGGAGAAAGAATGTGATCTTTATAACAGACCTGAAGTGACAATCATTAATGGGACTCTGATAATAAACCGTGTGATCAGAGCAGATTCAGGGAATTACAGATTAACACTCGAGAGCTCAGACGGCACAGAAACATCTAGAGATCTTCAAGTGATTGTTGAAGGTACAGAAACTCTCTCATCAGACTCATTACAATCTCATGTTCTCCAAAGATCTCACTCTCATGCAGATCAATCCGTTGAATCTCTGGGAAGGTTTTTATTCATGCAGCTCATTAAATATCTGGAAGAATTCAGTCAACAGCATCTGCACTTTTCATGTTCTAACTTGTATTTTCAAAATGAAATACCAACATGTTGCTTACTGTATACTGCATACCATTTTAAAATGACGTGTGAAAGCATTTCAAACAGTCATCTGCTGCATTGCTGTCACATGACTAACCTATGCTGTGTGTTTAATTTAGTGATTCCAGTTATCAGATAAAAACTGTGGTTAAGAAATGTCTTGATATTGACTCATAATGAGTCTAGAAAAAGGTCATGTGACTGTGATGTGTCCCTCCCTCCAGCTCCTATTGGCTCAGTGGAAGTGTCAATCATCTGCTCCTCCAGTGGGCTGATGAGGGTGTCCCTCGCTGTGAAGACGCTTGTGTTGATGAGAGCCAGAACACAGACGATCTGAAGCAGCATCGCACTCTTCTGCTGGACTTTAGAGAAACGATGCTCATCTTTGGACTGATGCTGCTGCTGCAGACTGCTGCATGTGAGTCACTTTCACATCAAACTCTTGCTATGATTCTGTTCATTCAGATCAATCTCTGAAATAAAAATATAAAGCTACATCAAGAGTCTGCAGTGATCTAGTTATAGAGTTTTCTGATGTTCAACAGTTTGTATTAGTAAAGTATTACAGAATGTGAGAGGAAGTGTTTTTCTATCTTCATGTTCATTGTGCTGAAAGTTTTAGTGTTTTGTAAACGTATATGTTTATTTTTATTTAACTTTTTTATATAAAGCAGGATTCATCAAATGATCTGTCTCCATTAAATATGATATCAGAATGATCAAGAGATTATTAATAAAGATACAAATGTCACAGTAAGGGATTGAACGGAAAGTACAGGACAAAATGTATTCTGCATGTTAACATTATTTTATATAGTATCAGAATATCTGTATAATATTTTAACAGTTTAGAAAAAAACAAAAACAATGCAGACCGTGAAAGCATGAGATTTTAATTGGAATAAAATTAACATTAAGATGAATGAGAGCATATAGACTAGCTGATGTTTCAGTGTTAAACAGACATTTTGAATTAAAATGTTTTATTTTAATAGTTATTTTGAATTACACAACAAACTATCCAGTAATCATGTTCAGTATCCATGCTTCAGATGAACCAAGATAAGATGTGGGAGATCAGATAAAGTGTCTGATATGTTTCTTCAGTTAAACTTGAATTCTGTGAGTGTTTGTTTAATTTGTGTTTGGTTTTAATTAATGATGTCTGTAGATTTTGGAAAATTTTTATTGTGTGTGTGTGTGTGTTTTGTTCTTCAGGTCTGGATCGGTTCTGCAGGTTTAATCAGTCTGATCCCTGTTACGCAGCTCTGGGACACAAACTCAATGTGACGATGGTGCAGGACACTAGTGAATATGACCTGAAGATCATAAAGAGAATAAACAACACAGCAGATGATCCAGTTTGTAGAGTAAAGAATGACAGGATGAGGACGAGTGAATGTGATCTTTATAATAACACAACTGAAGTGACCGTCATTAATGGGACTCTGATAATAAATCGTGTGATCAGAGCAGATTCAGGGAATTACAGATTAACACTCGATAGCTCAGACGGCACAGAAACATCTAGAGATCTTCAAGTGATTGTTGAAGGTACAGAAACTCTCTCATCAGACTCATTACAATCTCATGTTCTCCAAAGATCTCACTCTCACGCAGATGAATCAGTTGAATCTCTGTGAAGGTTTTAATGCATCTGCACTTTCCATGTGCTACGTCTATTCTTAGATTGAAATACCAGCACATTGCTCACTGTATGCTGCCTTCTGTTTAAAAAGATAACGTGAAAGCATTTTAAACAGTCATTTGCTACATTGTTGTCACATGACTAACCTATGCCGCGTGTTCAATTCAGTCCAGCTATTATTTCATATATACATTTTGTTATATATACAGAGTCATGTGACTGTGATGTGTCCCTCCCTCCAGCTCCTATTGGCTCAGTGGAAGTGTCAATCAACTGCTCCTCCAGTGGGGTGATGAGGGTGTCCTGCTCCTCTGAGGGGGATCCGCTCCTCTACAGCTGGACTCTGAATGGAGGTCCACTGATGGATGGAAACAGCAGCATTGATCTGGATGAGGGAACTGATGGAGACATCAGCTGCAGCGTGAAGAATCACGTCAGTCACGCACAGAACACCACTAGAGTCCAACCCTGTCCTGGTGAGATTTTAATACATGAATGTCCACACATTTGTTAACAACAGCAACAAGAGTGATGCAGAATCTCACAAAACCTGTCAAAAACATGTCAAAGTCATGTTGTACCTCCTAAGTTAGCAGTATCTCTGAAGCATATTTTGATGGAATGTGATGGTTTTAACTCCTCTAGGACTCTTTATAAAGGATTTTGAATAAATTAAGAACAGATTTAGGCTCGATTTAGATTTTTTTTTTAATGAAAAATAGACTTTAAAAACCTTTTTGTTTGTATTTGTTGTTTATGTATAGTTTATTTATTTATCTATTTACATTTTCTATTTTTGACTTGTTTCTCGGTCAGCTGTCACTGGCATGGCACTAAATTATAACCAGCAAACAAACATTTCACCCCAAAATCAAATTTCATATTGCATAAATAAAATGAGAACTATTTTACAAACTGTAGTTATTTACAGTTTTTTTTGTTTTGTTTTTTTTTGTAATTGAAATTATTTACAGCAATAATTGTTATTTGGTTGTTATTGATAAATTTTTACTTATAATATGTAATATGATCATTTAATCTGCATGATTTGAAGACAGACAGGTGTTTGTTTATCTGGATCCCTATTAGCTTCACAAAGTTTCCACAATTTCACTAATTGCATCACAAAACTATACATCTTAGCAATAGCAACACATAAAACATGCATCTACATATTTATAACCATATCTTCACATTTTCTTTAAAACATATATGTGCAATTACTCTTTTGTATATTTATGGGAACCATATTCCAAACAAGTCTTGCATCATTTTGTTTTTTGTTTTTTTTGTTGTGGACATGGTAAAAAGATTTGAGCGTTACTCACTTGACATGTTTTAAAATCATGTCTAAATCCCACATATACGAGCTTTTCAAAAAACAAAAAAAACAGGGTGTGTGATACTTGATTATCTTGTGAAAATATACCAACAGTCGTAAATGTAATTGAACCTTCACCAACAGCCATGATGACTTACTATGCACGTCACTAACATAAGCTTGAAAAAGCACTAACCTGGCTGCTCTGTTCTGAACCATCCCAAGTGTTTTTAGGTGTTTCTCAGATGCACTTGACCATACCATCGGGCAGTACTCAAGATGCCATAAAACTAATGACTGCACCACATCTATTAAAACTAAAGATGGATTAAATTCAGAACATTTCCTGGCCACCGCTATACCTTTTCCCATAGTGCTTACTAAATAATCTATATGTTCAAACCAGGAGAGCATATTGTCAAGTTTCACACCCAGCAGCTTAACAGTTGTTACCTGTTCCAATAGCATCCCATCAATAAATAAATTCAAGTCAGCAGCCTTAGTAATATTTTTATAGCTAAAATGATACATTTAGTTTTTCTATATTTAAATATGTACAATAAGTACTGCCGTTACAGTATGCATACTTTACAATTTCATCATATAATTACTTTATACATATTATGTTAATCATAATTATTATAGGTTTTTTTTCTTCTTCTTCTTTTTGCATTGTCATAATGAGCATTGAGGTTTTTTTTTGTTTGGATTTTCCTTATATATCAGAAATATGATTTGAGGGATATATACAGTCTAATGCCCATAAAGCATTATACAAAATATTACGTACTACTTACAGTTTTGCTTTTGATTTTGAACTGATATGTGACCTGACCATGTTTCATGAGATTCAGAGAAATAAATTCTCTCAACTGGCCAATTAATTATTCAAAATTATCAATGCAGTAATTTCTATTAATAGAGAAAGCAGATGATTCTGTGCTGATGTTTTATTTCAGGACCAACTACTGCAGCTGTGACCTCTAGTGTGACCTCTAGTGTGACCTCTAGTGTGACCTCTGCAGTGACCAGCAGCACACAAACATCAGAAAATGATACAAGTTTCTCATCAGCTGGTATAAATGTCACACCGAGCCCTGAAGCATTTCGATGGATGCGTGAGTGTTGAGATACAGGCTCTAGCTAATATGATTTTTGAACTAATTCACTGTGCTATTAACTGCCTGCATGTAGTTGTTACAGTTGTTTTTCTTGTTGCTGCTGCAGTTGGTGTGAATGAACATTTCGAAGCAGTTTTGGAATTTGATTTAAATGACCTTGGGTTTTTCTTCCATAGTTTTACTCTGTCTGATTGCTTTGGGCTGCGTTGCTCTGCTCCTGATTCTGGTGTTCATCACCGTATGTTACGTTTACAAGAAAAAAACGCTGAAGTCGACATCAGGTCAGTTCATTTAAAATCTGTAGTTCATATACTAACTGATGAAGATTAAAATGTAGTACTATTCAATGCAAGCTGCAATTACAGAGTCAAACACATGGGTTACTATGCCTTAAAATGCTGAGATTATATGATGTAGGTCCGGAAGTATTCGGACACTTGACTGAGTTCTTGTGCTTTTGCCTTTATACACCACTACAATGGATTTTAAATAAAACAATTAATATGTGATTGAAGTGCAGACGTTTAGCTTTATTTTAAGAGGTTCCACAAAAATATGACATTTACACTCCATTTTCAGGGGCTCAATAGTATTTGGACAATGTGACATGACCAAGTATAAGCACAATTTTAATACTTAGATGAAAATCCTTTGCAGTCAATGAGTGTAGCCCATGGACATCACCAAATTCTGAGTTTCCTCCCTGGAGATGCTTTGCCAGGTCTTCACTGCAGCCATCTTGAGTTGCTGCTTGTTTGTGGGTCTTTCTTCCGTCCGTCTGGTCTTCAGTAACTGAAAAGCATGCTCTATTGGATTGAGATCAGGCGACTGACTTGGCCATTACAGATTATTCCATTTCTTTGCCTTCAAAAAGTCTTTAGTTGCTTTCGCAGTATGTTTAGGGTCATTATCCATATGCACCGTAAAGCTGCATCCCATAAGCTTTGTAGCATTGGCTAAGTGTGAGCAGAGAGTATAGCCTTAAAGAGCTCAGAATTCATCCTGCTACTTCTGTCAGCAGTTACATGATCAATGATGAGCCTGTTCCATTGGCAGCCATACATGCCCATCACTGCTCCACCATGTTTGACACTTGATGTGGTGTGCTTTGGATTTTTCTTTCGCCATGCTTTTCTCTTCTCATCAGTTTGGTACAAGTTAATCTTGGTTTCATCAGTCCAAATAATCTTATTCCAGAACATGTGAGGCTTTTTTAGATGTTTTCTGTCAAAGTCTAATCTTGCTTTCCTGTTCTTGAATGTTACCAGTGGTTTGCACCTTCTTGTAAACCCCCTATATTTACATTCATGAAGGCGTCTCTTGATTGTAGATTTGGGCAATGATGTGCCTACCTCCTCCAGATTATTTTTAATTTCTGTTGATGTTATGAAGGGGTTTTTCTTCAGCAAGGAAAGGATTCTGTGATCATCCACTTTAGTTGTCTTCTGTGGTCTTCCAGGCCTTTTGATGTTGTTGAGCTCACCAGAGCTTGCTTTCTTCATAAGAATGTAGCCAACCGTTGATCTGGCCACACCTAAGGTTATTGCTATCTCTCTTAAAGGGGTCCTATTATGTTCTTTTACAAAGTCTTGATTTTGTTTTGGGGGTGTACTAGAACATGCTCTCATGCTTGGTGGTTCGAAAAAAACGCATTATTTTTCACAAAATTTACATTATTACACCTCTCTCCCCAATCTGGCACAAACAGCTCGATTAGTTTCGGGTATGATGAAGGCCCGCCTTCCGAAAAATGAAATGTGTTGTGATTGGTTTAGCTGTCCCAGTGCGTTGTGATTGGTGAACAGCTTAGATGGTGTTTCAGTACTGCCACTCCTCTTGTGTCAGGGTTCTGTCACTTCGGTCTAGTGTAATTCATAGTTTTGTGACAGAGCCCTGACACTCGCGTCATGTCATTGTTTTCATGTGAGCGTGCGGCTTCGAGTGTGCTCGAGCCGTGCGCTCTCGTCTGCGTGTACTGTTTCATGTTGGAGCGTGGTGTTCAGATCCCGGCACTCATGTCTTGAGTTTCGGTTTCGTGTCGGGGTCCGGACACTCGCGCTCCATGTTCTGTCTGTTGTGGGAGCGTGCGGTCTCGAGTTCGCTCGGCCGTGCGCTCTTCTGTCCACGTGTGTTGTGTTTTGTTTATCTTTTCTTGTTGTCTTGTGTGAACACGCGGCTTATGAGTTTTCTCATTAGCTGCGTGTTCGTGTCTTTTGTTCTAGCACATGGCTTTGTCTTTGATTCGGTGTGCCATGTGCTCATGTCAATTGTCTTGACCCCTCCCATCTTGTTACCTGATTATTAGTTAATTTGCCCCACATGTGGTCCCTCGTTACCCTCCTCATTTGCTCTCCATTTATTTTCCTTGGGTTTGCAGTCCTGCGTCAGTTCGTCTTCATCTCTCCCTGGATGTGTCGTGTCGTGTCCAGATCCTGCCTGGCCTTGCCTTGCCTTGCCAGCCTGTTTTTCCCCCACGGGGTAGTTTCTGTTGCTGTTTTGTTTATTTTTATTATCAATAAAAGCCCTTTCTGTGCAGTACTCAGTCCTCGCTCCATCCTCTACCCAAACCCTGACATCTTGCTCCGTCTTTCAACAAAAGTGTTTTGGCGAAACCGGCACTGTACTCCCTCATGTTGTGGACGCTATCCTCAGTAAAATGCGCAGCACACAATAGCAAATTGGGGTTATAATGCTCAGGAGCAGAGTTAAAAATAAATTGCAACCACTGTTTCCTGACATCATCCACTTTCGGAAGCCCAAACAAAGTCGTTTGGGCATGGGGGTGAACAAAACAGCGTTTCTTAAGACGGTCGCATACCGGACGAGAAGTACAGTGCAGTGTCGCATCACGCCACGTCTTTAAAATTCGAACACATTATTTTCTATGAGTGCACTCACACCGGTGGCGCCGTTCGGCATCTGTCCGCGGCGCCCAGCTACGTCGTGTTGTACTTGTTGTAAGAATTGTTCTAGACACGGCGCTGCGCTTCTCGTCCGGTATGCGACTGACTTTAGACATGCCGAAACTTGACGCTACAGCAGCTCTTCTGACATCACAACACCCGGAAACCAACACTGTAGTCAAAACGAGCCGTTCGTTGTAGTTCTTGAAAAGGGATTTTTTAAAAACTAAATATATCCCTTTGGAGTGGACTTTGAGATTTGTAACTTTGTAGATCTTTTTTATGCCCAAACATACACACTACACACTGACTAAAATTTAAAAAGTGAAAAAGCATAATAGGACCCCTTTAAGC